ACCGACGAGCATATTACGGCTATTAAAGCACTCCTTCAAACAACGTCTTCGTATGATAACTTTCTCGTTAAGAACAATCTCCTGTACAAAAACGTCAATGGCATTGACTTACTTGTAGTGCCTGAGAATATGCAGGCAAATGTCATTAAAACAGCTCACGAACGAGGCCACTTCGCCGTAATCCGCACTCAAGAACTTTTAAACAACGAATATTTTATCCCAAATCTGAAAGAAAAAATTGAGCGGTGTATCCATAACTGCATCCCATGCATCCTCAATAATCGAAAGCGTGGCAAACAAGACGGACTTCTGCACCCCATTGACAAAGACGACGCACCCTTGCACACGTACCATATCGACCACTTAGGTCCCCTTGCCACCACATCAAAGAATCAAAGAAATACAAACATATTTTGGCAGTTATAGACTCGTTTACTAAATTCGTGTGGCTTTATCCGACAAAGTCTACAGACGCAGATGAAGTTATCAGTCGGCTGGAATCTCAAAGATCAGTCTTCGGAAATCCTTCACGGATTATCTCTGATCGAGGCCCTGCATTCAAATCCACTGCATTTGCAAACTATTGTGACACACAGAGAATAAAGCACGTTCTTATTACAGCTGGCCTCCCACGATCGAACGGTCAAGTTGAGCGTTTGAACTCCATTATTATTGCTGTCCTTTCTAAACTCTCCATAACCAACCCTGAGCAATGGTACCGCCATGTTCCCGCCGTGCTGCAACAAATTATTAATTCAACTTTTCAACGTAGCATCAATTCCACTCCCTTTGAACTTCTCTTTGGGACTAAAATGAAATCGCAAAACGACATAAACATCGCTGCTCTAATCGACGAGGAGATCAAATCTGCATTCATTCAGCAACGTGACGATCTCCGTAAGGACGCAAAACAGCAAATCTCTAAAGTGCAAGACGAAAATCGCCGTACTTATAATTTGCGACGAAAACAGGCACAAAAATTTCAACTTCATGACCTCGTGGCTATCAAACGAACTCAGTTTGGCCCTGGTCTAAAACTCAAACAGAAATTTCTCGGACCTTATAAAGTCACCAGGCTCAAACAAAATGACACATATGATGTGGAAAAGTGTGCATTTTTCGACGGACCATCCAAAACATCTACTTGTGCTGAATACATGAAACCCTGGTCCAACAATATTGAACGTATCACTTAATTTTTATTAAACTGTCAGCATTATAGGTCCTCCTGTGTTTGGGACAGATGACACCTGAGAACTTTCTAATAATTTTTTTTCCTCATATATCAACTTTTTAATTCATTTTGTCATACTAATGTTCTTTTTATTTTTAGTTAACTGCTGTGGTGTGTTTAAACTATTTTTTTGCTCCATTTGTGTAAATAGCCTCAGCTTTGTATCTACAGATTATTTTTTCCATACCTATGTTACTATATTATAATAATTTTTTTTAAAATTTGATGATATACTATGTTGCTTCAGGCGAGGTCGCCTGTCCGGTCATGATGGCCGAATGTGGGAAACGTTATGTCATGATATTCCCTAATTCCCTACTGTAAGACGTATGCATTGCGTCAGCATGTGTTTCCCGCCTTCGGGAGGAGACGAGGATTAGCTGGCGAGCGGAGCAGACGTCGCTCGATCGCTCGTATACTATTTTCATTAATTGTAATCCTAATGTAATCTGTATTTGTAAATAGTAATAAATGTGTGTTATCAACTATGGTCGTTGCCTTTGCCCACATATATATATACAATTAATTCCATTTCTGGTAATTGGAGTCTAGAAACTTGGAAGTGGAATTATGTGTGTTTTTATGTTCATCAGCTGCGATTGATCAATATAAAATCTCCCTTAATTGTAGTAATATGCGTTATGTAGTCTCATGGATAATTTTAACTGTTTGTTCGATTCCATGTCAGGAAAGACGAGTGGTTTTGGATGGGTTGCAGGACCCGGCGAATAAATAAATAAAACAATTGTGAATAAAGAATCCTTTTCCCCTTTTTGTCCATAATAGAGAGAATACTTTCTGTTACTTTGTAAGGATTATGTTAATTTTATTAACAGCTAAATTTTAAGTTAAAGTTCCTTTCCTGTCAAATTCTTAACTTCAACTTACTACTTCCGGCCAGAATGTAGTTTTAGAATCACGTCTGAATTCATAATGAGGAAGAGCGGTATTTAACCGCGAAGTTCTTTGGTCTTAGAGAGAGAGAGAGAATCAGAGTTTTTGATTTACGCGCGTCTGCCTTTTGGCCACTCTCTCTCTCAAAGCTGTTATTACGCTCAGCCGTACTCAGCCCTTGATAGCTTCGCAGTCATCTGGTGTGTAAGGGGCCAACTGCATTAGAAACTTGATAGCTTCGGCTATATTTCTTTAGTTAATCTTAGTTTTAGTTTAATTCTTAGTCTCTTAAGTTCAAGCCCAAGTGTCGGCTTTGATTATCTGCAACTAACTAACACTCCAAGGCGGAGTTTTGTTAAATCTTATTGGAATAATAAAGGGTTAGGTACCCTTCCATCTTGTTGTTTCTTGTCACACGAACTTAAGCGATTATTCGCTATCTAGTTCTTAAGATTCGTCACTTTCTACAGTAACTGAGATTTACACAGTGAAAGTCTTACAACTTTAATGAGACCAAGGGGAAGTGGGAATAATCCTTTTGTTCTTTGGAAACACTGAGCATTTGATATCGAGTCTGTAATGCTATATCTTTTTTAAGTTCTGCATACTGTCGTGTGATACGGAGAGAGTAATTAACCTACAAATGGCAATACAGCAGAGCTGCACTCCGTGGTTATATTTTATGGTGCTGTCGTTTGGGGACTCCCTTAAAAGTCTTTTCTAAACTTGCGCAGCCAACCTAATATTGGTGTCGGTGAGAACCTCAGGTTACCGGTATTCTCGAAAAGCAACCATGGCACTTGTTGTTTTCCTTAACAGAGCTCGCGATAGTCCCAATAGGAAAGAATACATTCCCCAACACGTCACTGTGACTGTACAGTCACAAAGCAGATGGCGAAAACGTTAGTCACGGGGACAAGTGGGAAGAAATACCCTAATGGACGAACATCATCGGCAAGCTCTGCTATAACAAAAGAGGTGCACGAACAGTTAGAGTCATGGCAGTTGAAGGAACATGAATCGGCTGAGGCCGTCAACGTGCAGTAGGAACATGATTGCCTGAATGATCTGGAGGGACTAATAGCCAGTGAAGGCATTCCTAGACAAGTGAGCAAAAACATTAAGAAACTGTGAACTTATTATCTATTATTACTCGTCAGAGCTTAGGTATCGCTAATTAGAAGCTGAATTGGAGCAAACTTAATATTTACAGTACTGTGTGCAAGTACTTACTGCTAATGGAAAGCTAAGCTATACTAACGTCGTTAGGTCACGTTTTAACAGTAGAGACAATTGCAAATGTTCGCAATTTAGGAGATCACAAAACAGACTCAGATCAGGAGCATGTGTTATTAATGTAACAAAGTATACATTTAATGTATCATATACAAAGGATAAAATCACTTCAGAAGAGGTTAAAGATAAATTGGTTAAACATATACAGCCTTCAAGATTGAAAGTGGGCGTAAAGAACGTGAAAAAGATAAGCAAGGGTGGCGTCTTAATCGAAGTCAAAGAAGCTATTAAAGAAATCGTAAGCTTAAATAGCAGAAAAAAAAAACATCCCCGGAAATTAAACACACGGGAAATAATTTCCCGTTATTTCCACGTAGTTAGATTATGATCTACTTCATAAATAAAGATATCGAACGAGAAAATTTAAAGCGTCTAATCAAAACTCAAAACAAAATGCCAGGAGGTGGAGGTAGACTTTCGATCCCTAATAAATGCAAGAACTTCAAATGCTGCTGTTTCGACTGACGACCGTTTCATCTGCTATTGGAACCGGTGATCTGAGGTGCTCCTTGACTTAGTGGACCCATCAGTCAGTGTGATGAATTTAAATTTTTTAATCAGGACTATTTATCGTTATAGGCATAGCTCTACCTCACCGGCATACTCTTCACCCCTCTTAGTAGATATGAATAGTTAATTTTTTTAAAAATAAGCTGATGATTATAAATGTCATTTGTTCGAGAATAAGATGTAAATGTAATTAGACATGCTAGTGAGACATTATTTTGATATATTATCTTCCTTAGCGATTTTTATGGTTGCGTGTATCCAATATTAATTTGTCAATGTTTGTAAAGAGTGTTTGCTGCAAAGATTAAGGTAAAGCCATTGAATATCCTGAACTATGTTCGCTAATGTGGAACACTAGGAAATCTTAAAAATGGATTATTGCCCTAAGTTGGCATGCGTTTATTTGTTTACCGTATTACGGCCTTAAGAATTCTGATCGTTTTGTTAAATTGAATCTGGGCTAAGTGTTTGCGGTTGTATTTGATGGTTAAAAGGATTTGGATTAAATCGAATTGCATTTTGTCATTCCGAAATTGCATTTTATCATTTAGAACAAAATATGTGCATGAAAACACTTAAAAGACAACAGCTTTCATGGGCTAAATGTTTCTAATGAATGCCATTATTTTCACCGTGATTTATTTAATGAAAACATACGTATTGCGATATACTTAATGGCAATGCAATGCAATTTGCTTTCTGTTACACTTAAATTTCCTGTTATCATCAAAATAAACGGATACAATTACACAGTGAATGACTTTTAGTTCTAAAGTAGTTCGGAAACAAAGAATATTTGTAAAAAGTACATTATCTGGTTCACAGTTGAATTAATTTTATAACTCTTATCTAACACTTTTTGTTATTTTTTTCCTCCTGAGATTAAATCTTTCAGATCTCAGTTTAATTCTTTCGTATAAGCAGTTTTACGTCGTATGTAATCCCTACGTTAAAAAACTTAGGGCGATATCTGCAACTAATTTTAAAACGTAAACTTTGCAGTAGTCCTGCCATAAGTCCTTGAAAGGTATATGAGCATATTCTAAAGTTTTGAGAAATAACTTACGTTTTCGAAAGGGATTTCTGGGTTCCAGTCAACATCATCATCGCTGCGGCTGTCTTGTCGGCACATAGCCTTCTTCAGTCCTCGAAAAGATTGGCAGAACTGAAAAAAAGAAAAAGTGTTTTAAAATTATGTAAAATTTGCATCTATCCTAAATGATGTTAAAAAGCCATAATTTATTTAGGTTTCCAAATTTTGATATAGTTTATTCTTATTATTCCCATATGATACTTTATTATGAATAACTACTACGATTTTGAAAAATTCTCAATTTTTCGTTTTATGAATTATTAACAAACTTGAGAAAGAGATGTGTAAGTAACAATTTAAGGATTTGCCGTTCATAATGTGCACTGAAAATTAAATCTTATTGTCTCAAGTTAGCTACAAAATTCAGAGATTATTCAAAAAGATGTCTTAGTTTTACCATCAAAGAAAAGTTATGTTAAAATCCATCAAACTGTTGGATATTTTACATTTTGACGCATTCCTAAATTCAAAAAAAAATCCTCTTAGATTAAAATACATGAATTCTTGTAAAACAGAAATGAGTTGTGCTAGAACATAATAAAAGAAGGGATCACTATAAAAATAATTGTATTACTCTGTTCTAGTATTAGATCTTTCACATTAATAAATATAAAGTAAAAAAATAGTTCATGCAACATTTTCTTTCTTCAGTACAAAATTATATTGGAAATTTCTAAACAAATTTTCTAGTAACAAGAGGTATTTATAAACGTAGGACCACAATAAAATTTTAAACTTTATAAGAATATTAATGATGTAAAAAGAATTAGTACTGAATGACACCCACATAATGATTTGAAGGTGTTAATTAATGTATTTAATTGAAACATAATTTTGGAACTGCTTTATCTGCAGATACAGTTTTATAAGAGCTTGTGGAAAATGTAGAATTCTACACAGTAACAAGTCTCACCACCCAAATCTCGAATATTTTAATGAATGTATACGGTATTTCATGCTAACCAACCAATTTTGATGAATTAAAACTTTACTGTAACTTCCTCTTTCCGTAGTCCTGTCCAGAATTCAAATGAGTTGTTTTGTGTATTTAAGCTGAGGGTTTGAGTATTTAAATTAAGAGCTTCTGGCAGCCGCCTCTTGATGTCACTTACTATCGCCAGCTCTGCTTGAGGTTTTACCATCTTGCTAGCTGGCGTTTTAAAATATTCTCTGTTAAAGAGTTGAGGCAGCTTAACTATGTCATCTGTATGTCAACTGTACTTCAGATTACGTCATCTATATTTGAAACTTAACTTTCTGCTACGGTTAATTTAAATACCCGCAAGGATCGTAAGTCCATCAGTCGAACAAGATATGCATTGCTGTTCATTTAAGATTTAGTTAAATAAAAAGGTTATTTTAACCTTCTTTAGACTTTGTGATCTGTTTCATACTAAGCGTTAACTCGCTATCAGTCTGGTAGATTCTGCAGGACATTGACACAAGCTTCTAGATACAGTAAAATCCTACAACCGTTAAACAAGAGTAGGCAAAAATACTGTTACAAATAAGCAGCAGCATAGATTAGGAACGTCTTCTCAGGATGAAATCGTAAGTGAGAAGAGAATGAAGCAGTTCAAAGAGAAAAAGGAGGGAGTCAAATAGTTTCAGTTCGAGTTAGAAAAAGTTTTGGTTTACAATGATTTCATTGGGCAGGAGGTATCTGCATCAAGCGTTACGTAACGTGGAAGGATCTCGAATTTGGGAGAATGAATTTAGGGGGAGGTCACCAAATCTAAAATGTTAATTTTGATGTTGCCAATTATTTTTTTAAAGCACAAGGATCTCCCAAAATTTAAATAATAATTAATTACTAATACTTGAAATAATATAGAAAAAAACGTTCCTTAAAAATATTTTATGTTTAAATTTATATTCTCCATTATTTTGAAAGTTTACTGACTGTGTTGTTTCATAAAATTTTCTAGAGATTTTGATCTAAAGCCTATCATTCAAGTTTCTTTCGTGAACATTTCAATTTTTGAATATTAAAAATTATATATATGCTATGGGGAGCATAAGAAGTTTAGAGAGGATTAGGTAGGGCATAGTACAAAAAGGTTGGGAAACACTGATTTAGGGAGTTTCAATGACCTCTTAGTCCGAACCAGTATATATATATATATATAATTTATTTCCTAAACAGTATTGATTAATTGATTATATTATCTAAGTTTAATTAAAGTAGAATTATTTTAAAAGTGTGCATCCATCCATTTTAAAAGTGTGCATCCATCCATTCCTTTATTAAATTCTTAATCATTGCGACACGACAATTAGCCAGAAATTAATTTCCATTCACTAGTATTTTAAAAAAAATCTTAACAGACGGTCTCTCTCAGATAAGAACTCCACAAAATACATCCCTCAAGAATTCCAAGTCCCACCCACTACCATAAATTTCTTCACCCAAGTCTTACCGACTTATTACCGACTGATATAATTCAAAGCCCCTACTGCCGCTAAGAATTTTCGGACACCCTACACTTCTGAGTCAGACACGAAGAGAACACACATTGCCAACTCCCCCACTAGAAAGAATGTAAGTTACTTAATACCTTTCTGGCCTTTATATCTTCATGTACATTCACTGATCTATTTATTATATATTTTCTATTTTATTTTTATATTATTTTTATGTTCTCTTTGATTTGTTTTACAAAGTTTGCATTATTTATCTTTTTTATAATCTTCTATGTTTATTTCAACTTTACTTTGATTTCGATTTCATAATGACAATTTCCAATGTTTAATTTCTACAAATAATATAGTACTCAAATACATAAAGATGATAGGTCGGGGACGATTACTCGAGTTTTACAGGATTTCTCTACAGTAATTGATTTTTACTCCAAATTGAATTGACTAAAATGCTTCATGAGAATAAGTTCTTTGAGTAAAACTATTCGCGGAATATTTGGCCTGACTAGAATTGCCGGTTTGGCTTTAACTTATAACTCGAGTAAAGACGAAACACTTTCATATTTACGTATTTTTTATCAATTATTGATCATTGAACGGGAGGTTGGTTTGTTCCCCTTGAAAAGTCAACTAATTTCCGATCAATGACAATAATTACATGGTTTCAATTTTTACTTTTACAATTGTAATATTATTCTTCGTGATGATTTAACTCCAGTCCCCGTTAAAACATTAATAACATTTTGCTTTCAAATTACTTCAAAACATTACTATATATATATATATATATAAAGACATAAATATAAATTATATTTTTAAAATTCACTATAATATAATCGTTTTGAATTAACAACCATTACTCTGTACAGTGACCTGTCAGACATGACAAACTATAAAAATACGTAAATGATACAATTTATAGGAATTAATCAGAGCCTGTTAGATCTATTTCATATTAATCCGCATTCAATAGCGTAAAGCAAATATTGAAAAAGTTCTAAAATACATTTTTTATTTAGTAATATTACGACTTTAGCGTTAAAGACCCATCTTAGAATTTAGGTCAAATGCTTGCATTATTCTGCGACGATATGCATCTCGAACTTGGATTTTTAACTCTAAGTTTTATAGAAGTATTACCTTTTTTTATAACAGTCTTAGTAGTATTATTTATTTCTGGAACCAGAAAACTTTGTGGCATCAAATACCGCAACATATTTTATGAGTCTTATACATTATTAAATTATGGGGCTCATAAAGAAGTGCCATAAAATATTTTACGTGCCATTCACTCGATGAAAATTCGTCTCATTCATCGAGGAAAAGAAAACTTTTTGGTGATTATAATCCATGTTCCTTGAATTTTTTTCAGTCTTCGGCAATTATGAATTCGGTTTTCGAAACAAACTAGATTAAATTAGATTAGAATAAATTAAAATCTAAATAGCATGGTTTAATAAATGTAGTGCAGTTCTTCAGCTTAATATAAAAGAAACTAAGCAGCTTATCTTTCAGTTTCATTTAAGTAATTTAGTACTGAATTACATTTTTAAGCAGCTTATCTACTTTCAGTTTCATTTACGTAATTTAATACTCATTGTATCATTTTAAATAATGCTGAGAAAGTAGTCAATTTCAATTTTAAGTCCCAATTTTAAATATACTAGGTTTTATAATTTTGTTTCGATACGAAATATTACGAATTAAAAAATAAAAAAAATTTGTTAGAAGTACGATGTTAATTTTTTGAAATGCCTCACTTTGCTATCCGCCATGGCCAGAATACTTTAAAATTTGGAAACATTATATGCAGTATGAAATGATAAACCTGTTTTCTCTTAGACGTGGTTTTTAGATGTGAAAACAACAGTGCTGAATGTACTTTGTATGTCATAAGGAAGTGACATTTTTTAAAAATAAGAAACAAATACCTTTGATTTTTTACCTATTCCATTCTTTGTAATATCACGTGATAGAAGTTTATTCAATAAACCTATCTTCGTCTGTATAGACTACTGAATACATAACATTTTCGTTGTTTATTTGAAAATTTTCTTTAAAAAATAAAAGTAAATATTGAAATAAAAAATAACTTGATTTAGTTTAATGAAACTCTCACAACAGTTATGATCTGTGAGAAAATTGATAAAATACAGGAAAAGTTTTAAGTAAAATCTCTAAAAATACTCATTTATCCTATTTTTCTCTTTGCTACTTTTACTTAACGAAATTTGCTCGCGGTGTTATCGAAGTATCAGAAGTAAAATTAATATATAAAGAAATATTTCAGAGCAATATTAAGGCTGCAACTGTAGGAATAACCGGGACAACAAACAAATTGGATAATAGAAAAAAAACTGGAAACTAAACAGCTGATTATATTTCAAAAAGATTTTTATACTTAAAAAATCTAAAATATTTTTATTTATATTATAAAACAAAATACAAAGCCTATTTTTTATATCAATTTTTTTCCTGAAGAAAATACACAATCCAAATAATGAAATAAATCTGTATTTACGTAATTCTGTTTCTAGTTTAATAGCATTAAGCAGTGAAATTACTCTTTATTTGCGGGAAAAAATAAAAATAAAAGAAATTTCTGCTTTTACAATCTTTTTTTTATCAATGTAGGATATACATTTTTCGAA